CCTCCCCCCCTCCCAGCCGCCGCCAGCAGGAGTCGCTCTAAGGGGGTGGCCTAGGAAGCCGGACTAGGGCTGGAGGGGGGGAGGCTGGTGGCTGCTCAGACAGGGCCTCCCTCGGGATGCCGGAGTGTGCGGGGGAGCGGTGCAGCAGTGCTGGGTGCCTTACTGGGGTTCAGCCATGAATACAGACCTGGTGTGTTTGTGGCCAGCCCCGGGGCCCCCATGGACTTGGCACGATGAGACCTGGTGGGAATCCCCCTGAGACACGGAGCCACTGGGCTTCCCCAGGCCTCTCGCCTCCTTGGCACGCCGCGCGGCCGGAGACCTGCCCGGCACTGCCGGATGCTGGCTCCGGGGGGGCGAAGTCGCAAAGAGCCCGCGGCAGCCACCAGCCATGAAGGCAGGACGTGGTGTCTGCTCCCCGAGTCGCTGATCTCAGAGAGCGAGAGGTGTGTGAGGGCCCCTCCACTCTCCTGCTTGCTTGCTGTCTTGGAAGGAGGGCGTTTCTGCCCAACACTGTTCCCCAAAAACGGAGCGAACGCCGACCTCGGCCGCAGCTTTGCTCCTTCCTCGGGAGAGTGCTGGGCAAGGCAGCTCACAGACACCCACAAGAATGGCCTGCACCCTATAGCACGCGCTGAGAGGACCGCCGTGACGGGACAGGCTGAGTGCTCCAAGACCCACATCCTCTCTCAGTGCAGCAAGAGTAGCACAGGCCCGGGGGGTGGGGGGATACAAATTGATGATTCTTTTTTTAATTTAAAAATAGATTTTTCAATTTAAGTCCAGTTTTTGTATTTTGTCATTTACATGATAATAAGCTTTTCTTTTAAAAATAAACCCACTTAAAATGCAATCTGAATGTAACCAAACGGTGTGAAAGGCCTCCATGTATTATAATCTCTTAAAACATTGAAATTAAAAATAGATATACTGTATTCATGAGCCTCTGTCAAAACCGTTTGAGTTGAAGGCTGTTTTTCTTATATAAAGAAAAAAATTGGGAGTAACATCTACCTTCTGATCTCCAGCTTTATAAATATGTTACAACAGGTGATACAGATTAATAAGGGCTTGTTTTGTTTTAATAAAAATAAATGTTATATGCTGTTTTGAGTGTTTAGTTCAATTCGGGTACGTCTAAGCTACATGCCTCCGTCGACGGAGGCATGTAGATTAGACAGATCGGCAGAGGGAAATGAAGCCGCGATTAAAATAATCGCGGCTTCATTTAAATTTAAATGGCTGCCCCGCTCTGCCGATCAGCTGTTTGTCGGCAGATCGGGGCAGTCTGGACGCGCCGCGTCGACAAAGAAGCCTTTCTTGATCGGCACAGGTATGCCTCGTGAAACCAGGTTTACCTGTGCCGATCAAGAAAGGCTTCTTTGTCGACACGGCGCGTCCAGACTGCCCTGCTCTGCCGACAAACAGCTGATCGGCAGAGCGGGGCAGCCATTTAAATTTAAATGAAGCCGCGATTATTTTAATTGCGGCTTCATTTCCCTCTGCCGATCTGTCTAATCTACATGCCTCCGTCGACAGAGGCATGTAGTCTAGACACACCCTTCCAGTTGCCATTCTAATGCAGCTTAAATCATGATAAAAAATATACTAAATAAGCAAGATACCACACACCACGTTCTATCAGGCTAAAAGTGTATCATTCCACTATAAGAATCTGAAAATATGAAGCTAGATAATTGCTTAAATAAACATGTATTGTTGTAGTGTATCCTTGTAGGTAGCAAAACAATGTACCAACTCTAGTGTAAAGGCTCTGTTGAGATGCATGTTTCTTGAGAAATAACTAAAGGACAAATGAAAAAAGAGATTGAAATGGGGTTCTACTCCGTGATCTGAATCACCTGGATTTAAATTGATCCATCCTACCCAGGCTATTGCAATGCAAATTTCCGTCCCTTACCCTTGGCAGTATGAATCTCGACCAGGAGAGACCACCTGTAAGAGCATTATGAATCTGTAGCACTCCAAGGTTCAATCCGGTCTTAAGGGAACTGTGCCAATAGCTGATTTTTGGTTCCAAAAAATCAGAAAAAAATTGGGATTGACCCAAAATGAATTTAAAAAAAAATTCAGCAGTATTATCAGGGCTTCTTCCTCTTTTGTGCACCGCCTCCCCGAGGCTCTGTCCCGCTCTGCTCCCCAAGGACAGAGGTTTAACACCTTGTGTTCTCTTTGCAGTCCCCAAAATCCGCTTTCATCAGTGCGGCCAAGAAGGCGAAGCTGAGATCCAACCCAGTGAAGGTCCGCTTTTCAGAACAGGTCACGGTTGGTGAGACAGATCCAGTAAGTGCTGCTCTTCCTTTGTCCGCCTTGCGCTGACGGGGGCTTCAGCTGTCAGCCTGCTCCTCGGCAGACGGCTCTCTCTCGGCTGGTGCAGCAATTCTGGGGGCTGTTTCCCCCAGGGAGAGGGTGATGCCTGAGAAATCTCTGCTAATCGGGCTGTGAGCAATGGACTGTGGCTCATGTAACTTCACACAGGGCAGAGAAAGGACTGTGATGTGCATCGCGAGAGAGGGATGTGTGAGCACGGGTGATAGGGCTGGCAGGTGATTCGCAGTGCTCTGCGCCAATGTGACCTAGTTGTGAGTGGAGATGTTAGCAATCGGTTATTTTCATAACCGTGTAACTGCTACAATCCTTAGCGGTTACATGGGGCCACTCTTGCTCCCTGCTACGCTTCACTTCTGCCTTGGATACAGAGGTAGCAGACGGGAGCCAATCCACACGGGGGGGCCGGGTTAAAAAACAGCCCC